GATTGTCAAAAGTTCATCTTTTTTTTTTATTTAATATATCTTACGGCTCTGAATACTAGTCCTTTTTAGCCCAACTTAAAGTATCTTTATCATCATTCATGTAAAAAAAATATGTTCTGTACTGCCATACAGAAAATGATCCACAGATTATCTGTGTCTGTTGCCAGGAACCAACGCTAAGTGTGGAATGCGCATATCTCCAATTTCAAGATGTCTGCTTCTAACGCTCTGATAACGGTTTAAAGACGTCACTACCAAACTCTCACGATATTTGATTTCATTGTTTTTATTTAAAAAATATACAGAAAACTTAATAAGTTGAATTTATTGCCAGTTTTTCTCTACTGTATAGCAAATCAAACTGGACGCTAGGGTTAGTAATAACAACATCACTTCTATAAAGAACCACAAAATATCTTACATGAGCAGTTTTTTACTTTGTCAATATATAAAATCAACAAAATAAAATTAAGGTAGAATATTATATAAAAACTTTTACAACGTCATTATCTCGTACAAAATAGAAATATATTATTCTTGGTTTTCATTTAAATAATAATAACAGTCATAAGATACTCCATCGTATATATTGATAACTAGCTGTTCCCACGACTTCGTCCGTGTGGAGTTTAATTTTTATTTTTCTAAAATAAAAGTAAATAAAATCCTGATCATTTGGATGAATGGCGGTCTTCCACAGTACGGTTTTCTAGAAACATTTTGTGAAACAACCACATTGTGGAATCACCTTCCAGCAATGGTATTTCCGAACCGATACGATATTGAAACCTTCAAGAAAAGAGCTTATTCCTTTTTAAAAGGCCGACAACGTACTTGCATTCCCCTGGTGTTGCGGGTGCTCATGGGCGGCGGTAATCACTTACCATCAGGTGAGCCGCATGCTCGTTTGTCCCCTGTGTTATAAAAAAAAAAGCTTAAGTTATTCCTTATTACATCAGCTACCTGCCAAAAAAAGTCCCGTCAAAATCGGTCCAGCCATTTCAGAGATTAGCCGGAACAAACAGACAGAGACACAAATTAAAAAATGTTATTTTGGTATATGTACCGTATTTATATTCATATTCATATAGTAAAAACGGTTATTTCAATATTACAGACAGACATACCAATTTTATTTATATGTATAGATATATTAAAATTTCAACTAACAAAATTCTAAAGAGAACAGAATGGTCTAAATATTGTTATTACAAACAGATTTACATACTACCCATAAGAAAAACCTAAATAAGTCCAAGAAAATCTACATAGGTACTTATTTATAGGTAAGAAAAATACTCATTCCCCATGAACATATGTGAAGACCTCTAGAATTCTATTGGAATAGTCGAGAACTATCGATTACCATATATTGCATAAGACAGAAACACCACGTCAAGTATAATTACGTGCATTTAGATAGAATGTGTGGACCCAAGTACAAGCAGCTATTGTAACTGACTACTTTGTAACGATGTTTTGGATTGTAAAACATTTACAATCCAAAACATACAAATAAAACAATAATATACAGTAGATAATATATATTTCTATACATATATTACCTAAATAAAATTGGAGTGTCCGTTCGTAATATTGAAGTAACCGTTTTGTACTACATGCATATGAATATAAATTCGGTAGGTACATACACCAAAATAACATTTTTTACAATTTTTGTCTGTCTATCTGTCTGTATGTTTGTTCCGGTTAATCTTTGAAATGGCTGGACCGATTTTGACGGGACTTTTTTTGACAGGTAGCTGATGTAATAAGGAGTAACTTACGCTATTTTTATTTTAATAAAATAAAGTTAAATTCCACGCGGACGAAGTCGCGTGTACAGCTAGTAATAAATATGATCCTACGCCTAAAAATAGCATTATGCTTCTTTGTCAAATATTCCACTAAAATCTATGATATACCAATTCACGAGTCTACTGGATTTAAGATCAAATTATGATCTTATTAGAAATTCCGTGTTTAGCCTACTTTATGTTCTTATATCTATATTTTATTAATAAATAACATATATTATTAATTACACATCGTTTAATTCAAACGCTATAATTTTCTGTATCAAAATGTTAGGTTGGAGTTTTGTATAGTACATACATTATCATTTAATACAACTAGTTCATTTTATCTTTAAAAACCGTATGTATATCACAAAATGATGGGTTAATGCATGACATTGTTAATGTTGCGCCGAGAAAGCATAGGTTGGGGTCACTTGCCCCTACACCGTATTGATTTTTATGTTCAACCGCCTTTTTGTTGTAACTTTTGTTGTGGGGGGGAATTTTCCGATCTCCGTCTATCTCTTTCACTCTCGCGGGAAAAGTTGCCTAATTACATTACGTTTCTGGAACCCGTCGCGTCGCTCGTATTTATTTCAGCTTCGACATTTATTTGTGTTACGTGCAGTTAATAAAGACTATTAACAATTAACTACAAATTGTATCCTTAGAAATCATATAGAATAGAATAGAATAGAATAGAAAGTAATTTATTCAAATAAACTTACATTGAAGCACTTTTGAATAGTCATTACATTTTTTTTTTAATCTACCGCTCGTTCGGAAAGCTGTCTCATCACAAGAAGAACGAGCGAAAACTTGCGTGTTGCTCTTTTAAATAATTTTATTATTATAGAATAATGAAACCGTTAAAAGTTTTAATTTTTATCATTATCATATCATATCATTATATAATTTAATTATTATATTATTGGTATCTTACTAATATTATAAAGACGACAATGTGTGAACGGATTTTCATGAAACATTTCAATAATATAATTTATACTTCAGATTAAAACAGGCTATAATTTAAAAATATACCTACCTATTATTGACGGCCTCGGTGGTCTAGCAGTCTAGCACACCACTTTACGACCGATGGTCGCGGGTTCAATTCCTCGCACGGCACAAACATTTGTATTCATGAGTATGATTGTTTGTATCGGTCTGGGTGTTTTCTATGTATAATATGTATGTATTTACAAAAAAAAATGATGTATGTATATTTGTGTCAGTTGTCTAGTACGCATAACACAAGCTTTAGCTAGTTTAACTTGGGCCTAGATGGCGCTGTGTGAATTGTCCTAAGATTATTATTATTATTATTATTATGTAATTTGGATAAAATATAAAAATAAATGTCAAGTGAGTGTGATGCAGACGAAATTAAGCGGGTCAGTTAGTACTGTATATACCTAAATGGATATTTTTAAAATAGAATATAGTAAATGTATCTAAAAAGGAATGGTTAAGTTTTACTGTAATATTGAAACCGATGTGACCGATGGGATAATTAAAATACGTAAAAGTTCTTTATGTATATATATATATTTGTAGTCGTACTCCTTTTTTATGTTGGAGTATATTCTAAATGAGCGGGAAAACTAAAATGCTTACAGCCTTATTATATTTTCCAATGAAGAGTCGCCTCATGTTTACCATTATGAAGTGACAGGTACCTACTCGGTTAATTTGAACCTTCACGGAATTATAAATTAATTCATTCTACTTCAGTTATTTATTTATTATTGCTTTTCAGGGCCGTAAAACTACTTAAAAACAAAAAAAAAATTATTACTTAAAATTCGGCCAGGCGGAGACCATGACCCATACTGTCTAGTTCATAAAATATTCTATTAATTAATCGAATATAGAATATTAAATACGATAATCGATTATAAATGTCAAATATTTTTGATACGGGCAATATTTTTTATGTTAATCAATGTCAACTTCATAAAATATATTGTTTTTGAATTGTTTATCTTCGAAAGTCATAATATTATTATTTTCAAAGATTGTACTGAACAATGACTATCAAATGTGAATATAGTTACTGTTTATTTAATCTGGTGAATAAAGGATATGATCAAATAAATCACAATGTTATAGACATGCAACAAATTATTTGGTATATTATTGTTATTACAATAAATTATAGAATTACATATTCGGTTCCTGAGCTTCAATTTTAATAATTCTTTCTTTTTATCTATATATATAGTTTACTTCCGTGTCTGTCTATTATCGGAATCGTGTGTGTAACGATTAAATACTAAATTTATAAATTACTAGCTGTTCCCGCGACTTCATCCGCGTAGATTTTAATTTTATTTGGGTACATCCAAGTTACATTACGGGCGATCTACTGTATGAGGAGACGTGACTCATAAAAAGAGTATAACTATAAATAAAACTTAATTTAACCTCTGTGGTTTAGTGGTTTAACACACTGCCTTACTTGCAACAGTCACAGATTCAATTCCTTGCATGTTAATATTTCTATTCTGAGTATGATTGTTGTATCTGCCTGAATGTTTTGTATGTATATACTGTATGTGTTAATAATTATTATTACAAATAATTTATATTTCAATATAATTAATTATTTCTTTCAATTCATATTTATTATTTCTTAATAGTTATTAATGTAATATATTAAACTATATTAATTTAACATTATTTTTCTAAAATTTAATTAGCCTAAGTTACTCCATATTACATGAGCTACCTGCCAATAAAAGTCCCGTCATAATCGGTCCAGCCATTTCAGAGATTAGCCAGAACAAAATGACAGACATATAAAAATTGTAAAAAATTTTGGTGTATGTACCATATTTATATTCATATGTATGTAGTAAACATGGTATGGACATGTAATGCGTAGGAACGAGGATAATATTTTAAGAAAGATGTTACAAATGAATGTGGATGGTTATAAGGGCAGAGGAAGGCCGAAAAAGAGATGGATGGACTGTGTGAAAGATGATATGGTAAGAAAGGAAGTAAATAACGCGATGACTGCGAACAGGGATGAATGGAAACTAAAAACATATTACGCCGACCCCAAATAAATGGGATAAGGAAGAAGCAGATGATGATGATGATGCATGTAGTAAACATCGGTTATTTCAATATTACAAACAGACACTCTAATTTTATTTATATGTATATTAAACATCTGTTTCTCTGTTCCAGGTACATGATATAAGAGTATTTAGTGAGTCCCAGTATTAAAAATTATACAGTCTAGTCTGATAGTTTCTACTTATTAATTAATAATAATAAAAAAGTATTGTATGTACTTAAAAAAAATATTTTTACTAACATAAAGAATCTGTGATACTTATATATGGAACTTTTACGTGGACTTTTATACTCTGTGCAATTTTAATATAGACTATAACATTGGCCAAAGATTATATATGTACTTAAATATGTTTATATTGAATTGATTGATGTGATCGAGTTCCCATAACTGATACAAGATGGCGTTGCCACCACAGCAGTTCTGCGTCAGGTGGAATTCCTATCACACAAACTTACAGGTATGTGTTTTTATTAGAGACTAGCTTTCGCCCGCGGCTTCGCTCGCGTTAATTTATCTCCTTAGGGGTGGAATTTATCATAATTCTTTCTTAGGGGATGCCTACGTCATAGTAGCTTTATACATGCAAAGTTTCAGCCCGATCGGTTTAAAATTGACAAAGTTTCATATAAACTTTCATCCCCTATTTTATCCCCTTGGGGGTAGAATTAATCAAAATCCATAATAACATCTACCTGCATGCCAAATTTCAGCCCGATCCGTCAAGTGGTTTGGGCTGTGCGTTGATAGATCACTATGTCAGTCACCTTGTGTTTTTGTAATATATATTTAGATAGAAGATAGTGACACGGATAGCAGTTTGGCCGGATACCGGATACCGGATATTCGGCCAACCATGTGACCGAATAGTCGGATATCCGGCGGAAGTTATCTAACTGATAAATTTATTTTCTTTCTATAACAGTCATTTATTATTGAGTGATAAAAAAATTAAAACTAAAACTAATTTTATTCCTTAAGTAATACTAAGACTAACTAAATAAAGCAAATAATTATTTTAAAAAAATATATTATCCAGATTTTTTTTTATACGGCCGGGTACCTCTCCGGCCGAATAGTAGTTATCCGGTATTGGGCCGGATAGTATTAAGGCCGCCGGATAGGCCAGAGACCGGATATCCGTTTCATCTCTAATTTTTATTATATTTTTTATATTTATTAATTATAAATTGCCAATACATGGTTACCCATCCATAATGCAAGTGTCAATTGTGAGCAGTTTCAACTTAGTTTAGCGTCAGTAAGACTGCCTTGGTGATCTTACAGTTTAGTACACTGCTTTACTCCTGATGGTTGCAGGTTCGATTCCTGACATGACATGAATAATGGTATTCATAAATATAATTGTTTGTGTTAGTCTGGGTGTTTTCGTATATCAAATACTAGCTACCCACCCCGGCTTCGCATGACTGTACATGTATTATACATATAAACCTCTTGAATAACTCTATCTATTAAAAAAAACCGCTTCAAAATCCGTTGCGTAGTTTTAAAGATTTAAGCATACATAGGGGCAGACAGCGACAGCGACTTTATTTTATACTATGTAATGATACAAGTATAGCCGTGCGAAGCCGAGGCTGTATAAATTATTGTTCCCCAGGCTGTGTTCCCTCGGCTGCTGCTCACGGAGCAGTTTGCAGACGTGACCCTCGCGTGCGAGTCCCGCCAGCTGCGCTGCCACAAGCTGGTGCTGTCGGCATGCTCCGCCTACCTGGAGCGGCTGCTGCTGCAGAACCCCTGCAAGCACCCCATTGTACTCATGAAGGACATGAGGTGAGGATATTATATCTATTAATATGTATTGAGGTAAGGTTTTTGATGAAACTTTTCAGTAATATAGCTTATACATCAGAATAAACCTACCCTTTTTGTTTAATCACTATGACTTATTTTCTCTTATTAATTGTTTAACCAGTTGTTGTATATTGAATGTTTTTTCTATTTTATTATTTCATTGAATTAGTGCTAATCGGTGGTTTGTATTCACACACTTAAACTTAAATTGTAAGTAAGAATAAATTATTTAAAAGAGCAACACACAAGTTTCTTGTTTGTTCTTCTTGTGATGAGACAGCATTCCGAATGAGCGGTAGATTAAAAATAAAATGTTATGACTATTCAAAAGTGCTTCAATGTAATGTATTTGAATAAATGATTTTCTATTCTATTCTATTTTTTCTACTGGTAGTCTGGAAGAGATTTCTTGGCTATAAGACCGCTCTTTGTATCAGTTTAATTAACCTATCATTATCAACAATAAAGAGTTTAAATAAAAAAAAATAACATAATTATATATAAATACTAGCTGACCCGGCAAACGTTGTTTTGCATTAAAATAAAAAAAATATTTAGGGGTGGACTACCCCTAACATTTAGGAGGATGAAAAATAGATGTTGGCCGATTCTCAGACCTACTCAATACGCTCACAAAATTTCATGAGAATCGGTCAAGCCGTTTCGGAGGAGTATGGGAACGAAAACTGTGATACGAGAATTTTATATACAAGATAATGGCACATGTATGTATATCTCTATACATCTATACATATAAATAATTGAAGTGTCTGTTTGTAATATTGTAATAACAGTTTTTTACTACATGCATATGAATATGAATACGGTACAAACACCAAAATAACATTTTTTTACAATTTTTGTCTGTCTTATTGTTCCGGCTAATCTCTGAAATGGTTGGTCCGATTTTGACGGTACTGTTTTGGCAGGTAGCTGATAAGGAGTAACTTAGGCTACTTTTATTATAGAAAAATAAACTTAAATTACATGCGGACGAAGTCGCGTATACAGCTAGTTAAAAATAAAAATGCATCAAAAGGCAACTAATGAGCTGTATCACGCATCTCACATGATGACGTGATGTCTTTACTGATGTTTATGTATATAGGCAACAGACATGACTTACCCTTGGCGTAGCTACCTAGGGGCTAGGCGGGGCAGTGCCCCGGGGCCCTCAAACTCAAGGGACCCTTACCAGAAAATCTCGATCGAATTGAACCTTTGAATATTTCTCCAATTTTCAAAATAAATATGACAGGTTGCAACCCGACTGTAATCATGGCAACTCAGTTGAGAGAAATTAGAAAGTTATACCTTCGGAATTCCCTTAAATTCTTTCTGTGGGTTGGCAGTGTTGGCAATTTGACGGATAGCGTATGTATACCTGTATTATATATATAAACCTCTTGAATCACTCTATCTATTAAAAAAACACCCTTCAAAATCCGTTGCGCAGTTTTAAAGATTTAAGCATACATAAGGACAGACAGCGACACCGATTTTGTTTTATATTATGTAATGATGATACTGTTGTTGTAGGTTCAGTGAAATGCAGGCGCTGGTAGACTTTATGTACAAGGGCGAGGTGAACGTGACGCAGGAGGAGTTGCCCAGCCTGCTCAAGTCAGCTGAAGCATTGCAGATCAGAGGTACGTGACGTCATCAGCACCATCCACTTGCACCCTTAATCTAGACACGCGGTAGTGTGTCAAGCCGAGTTTCAAGTAAACTGGCAAGCAGCACTGTGTGTATATTTACACGAACCATTTGGAGCCACTTTTGACCCCCTCATAACTCAAAAACTCTTTCACACAAACCTGTCAAATTTGGTTCATATATTGAGACTAGCGAGATAAATATGTGTTCCAAATTTCATAAACATATCTCAAACGGTTATTTAGATATTAATGTCCAAAAATCGTCATTTTTATCACTGATCAACTATAGATCAAAATTATAACCCACTTCCAAATGACCTAGGAAGTTCAAATTTGGCATGCAGATAGGTAATTAGGTGAATATAACTTAGGATAATATACTGTAGCCTAAGGTCTAACTTGGCTAGTTTTCATATACGAAATATACTGTAGCCTTCGCAAGTTCTAAACATGTTACTTGTCGGTTCCTATTTTAATATTAGTAGTAACTAGCAATCGAAAGTAATAATTGGTATATGAGAACTGGCCAAGTTAGACCTTAGGCTACAGTATATTATCCTAAGTTATAAGAAGAAATGATATTTTATATTGTTATAAATACATTTCAGGACAGACCATTGAACTTGGCGCCCATTTAGATCTCATCTCTTTTGTCGTAGAAGTCAACAATCAAGGCATATATTATAATATTAAACTCGGCTATCATTTCACATTTATGTTTTTGGTGGGATAATGGTCAGGGAAATAGCAGTTAATAGTTCAGGCAATAATAATAATAATAATCTCAGGACAATTCACACACCGCCATCTAGACCCAAGTTAAGCTAGATAAAACTTGTGTGTACTAGATGCCTGATACAAATACAAAGATATTCTATTTCGTAAATACATACATATAATACATAGAAAACACTCAGACCGATACAAACAATCATACTTATGAATACAAATATTTGTGCCGTGCGAGGAATCGAACCCGCGACCATCGGACGTAAAGCAGTGTGCTAGACCGCTAGACCACCGAGGTCGTGAATAGTTACTATATTCTAGTAATAGCCCCAGGGCAATTAATATAGTCATCTACACTCGCGAGCAACCAAATCGACTCAAGCGCTACACCCACATTCAAACATTGTTCTTAATAAAATTATACAACATTTAAATAAAAATAATATGTCATTTGAAAGCTTGAAAACTAAGCTTTAAAAAAAACATCAACGCCATTAGATAGATAGATAGATAAATTCTTTATTCAACAATTACAAACACATACCATACATGAGATACAGAAAAACACGAATTAATAAAAGAAATGTAGGTGGCTTTATGTGCCGCAAAAGTGAAAAGGCAGCCAACTCAGCATAATGCTACAGATAACTCTGCAGCGCTGATATTCTGTTGGCTCCTTACTTATACTATACTTATTACTAAAAAAAATTACATAAATATTAAACATCGAGCTCTTTATCAAAATATATAAATATAATATTATCAAAATATATTTAAAAAATTCCGAGAAAAAAGTGACCAGAGAGGGTTATTCTGAACTGAAAACCAAAAAAAACATCAACGTGGAAACACTGGTTTTAAAAGAAATGTAGGTGACAGTTCAGAATAAAAGGTCTGATAATGCTCAGATAACAGTGTTTTTTGCCACCCTGTCCCTTACACCCGGTATAATAGTATGATGTAATACAACAGGGCTGTGCTCCAGCGACACGTCGTCGTTCAGCTCGGAGGTGGGGAAGACGGAGACCAAGGACTACACGGTGGCCAGCGAGGCGCTCGTGGCACACGCGCACAACGCCGCCTCCAACGGTCTGTACTCACCAAACTCACCATCATCATCATTATCATCATCATCATCATCATCATCATCATCATCATCATCATCAGTCCACTGCTAGACATAGGCCTCTCTCAATGCACGCCACTGGGCATGATCTTTAGTCCTTCTCTTCCAGCTACTACCCGCAACCTTACGTATGTAATCGCTCACCTAACTGTGGGGCGTCCTACCAAATTCATTTGCCAAATTCAAATTCAAAAGTCATATATTCATGTAGGACATTTTAGCCGCTTATGAACGTCAAGTTTTACAATATAATTTTTTCCCTACCATCCAGTTCGGTATATAGATCCAATTGAGAAGAACTGGTAAGAAACTGAATTGAATTACTTTTTTTTAAGCCAGTTTATTTACAATGTATATTTATATAGGTGTCTATGTCTAATATTAAATGAAAATCCAGTGCATGAACAACTATTGCCATGCACGCTCATCATTCAAGTAATCGTTTAGTGAGTAATAGGCTTTGCTCAGTAAATATGATTTAACTGACAGCCAATTCGCGATCTCCACTCTAGAACACGTCTACTTCAGCGAGCATAAGTTCTGCGACAGATATGACCAGCCCATTGAACTTAACTTTTGTATACGAAGAGTTATGTGACATTAGTTCTCTGAATTACTACATTTCGGATTTGATCCCTCAGAGAAACTCCCAAGTATAGCTCTTTCCATAGCTCGTTGAGTGACTTTGAGTTGGTGGACCAGTCATATCGTCAACCCGTTACGTCTGGACCTCGTTCCAGCACCGTAAGTCGTAACGGGTAGGACGCACTGATCATATACCCTCGGCAAAGAGCTCAGCTCGAGGCTCGCTCCCTGCGGTCCGTAGGGACCAGCGGACGACTCAACAACAACATACCCTAGGTTTTGTGGAAGCGACGACCAGAAGACTATGTATACCACAGAATATTCGAATGAATACTCTAATGAACCAATCCTATTGAGTAAATATATAGTGCTAGTTGGTAGTTTGTATTCACACATTTCAACTTAAAAATGTAAAGTTACAACAATTATTTAAAAGAGCAACACGAGAGTTTCTTGCTCGATCTTCTGCTTGTGATGAGACAGCTGTCCGAATGAGAACGTGTTTGATTAAAATACTAAAGAAAGAAGCACCTGATAGTTTCTTTTGGTACAATGTAAAAATTTCAAAAGGAAAACAGTGTTGCCAGCAAAGAAATCTTCCCGGAAATATGGGACAAGCCCATAACACAGATAAGAGGCGTATCGTAATTTTTTTTACATTTATGTAGTTGAAATTGCTCTGCTGGCTACCCTATCTTTGATAACAGTTATGTGTGAAGTTATTTTTGTTTTTGTTAGCCTACTCATGCATAAACGAAATATCTCCTTTGAAAAGTTTACACTCTTTCCCGAGGAGATAAAAACCATCGCTCCTAAGAATATCCTTCAATTCTTGTCCCTGACGGGTCTAGGTAGCGAACTTTGAAAAAGGGCGAGCACAATAGATCTATGTAGGTCGCAGTGCTACAGGTGCTACAAACATCTGACAATAGCCCACACAAACCCAATAAAAAAAAGTTATTTTTAAACTTTCGTGTGTAATATACATTATTTAAATTATTAACTGGGTCTTAACACGAATAATTTTATGGCAAATAAAGGTATTTACCTCTCTCGACGTTTCGACTAGGTTGCACTAGCCGTGGTCACGAGCTGACTGGAGTAACAGCGATGTCAATGTAGATAGGTGACAGCAGTTTTTTCTTCATCTACGTGTTAAGTCGTGTTAAGACCCGGTTAATAATTTGAGTAATGTTCTATAGTAATGATAAATAATGTTCAGGTATGTATAAGAAATCAGGTGGCAATAAAAACAGTGAATCTATATGCAAGCCGTTTATTCAAAGTTCCTCTTTGTTCTAACTCCAGCGCGTATCTAACCAACTTTCTGAACTGATTACCCCTTTTTAAGAAGAAGGGTAGTCGGTTCATTCCTTTCCTCTATCTATCATTACACTACAATTATACAAAATAGTGGAACATATAATACTTAAAATAGTTTTAGAAAATACCATAATTAATTAGCACTTCCTTGTAGATATTGTATCATTGTTACATTTTTACAATATAAATAAGTTATGATATACACACAAATGTCTCTAATCTAATTGATTGTAAGATGGCGCTGTATAGTCAGTACAATACTTGATAGTTTCCTATTTAATCATTTCATAAATATAATATATAGACATATAAATTATTTCTTACATATGTAATGGTAAAAATGTTTGGATATTTCATTTAATTAATGCTAATTGGTGGTTTGTATTCACACACTTAAACTTAAAAATGTAAAGTAAGAATACAATTATTTAATAGAGCAACACGCAAGTTTCTTGCTCGTTCTTCTTGTGATGAGACAGCTTTGAATGAGCGGTAGATTAAAAAAATGTGATGACTATTCAAAAGTGCTTCAATGTAGGTTTATTTGAATAAATGATTTTCTATTCTGTTCTATTCTATTCAGGACCGACGCAACAGAAGACGGCCAGCACCACGACAACAAATGGACCTAAGAAACGCAAATCAGAGGAGAGGACCGACGTGAAACAAGAGACTGTGGAAGAAGATGGACTTTACTACGGCGAGCTGGACAACGACAATATGGAATACAACGAGGTGAGCAACTCACGTGTTATATAAAAGAAAACTGTATGAATGGTTAGTTTCCAAGTGTTTTTACTCAATTAAAGAGTTTTTGGAATAGTAAAGTAATAAATTGTGACTCATGACATTTAGATTTATATACAAATTGACATATAACTACATACAATAATTCATAATTATATAAACAATCGATAATTTAATTAACTTTAGATTTGTACGCTTGATATAAGCAGTTTTTGCAAGGGCCATATTTTTGTATAACATCATATATGTATATACCCAAAATTTATTACAAATAAAATTATTATTATTTTTTTTTTATAAAATACTATCTACTCGCTCCGGATTTTTACGGGTGTTATAAAATTGGAGTGTCTGTTTGTAATATTAAAATAACCGTTTTTTACTACATGCATATGAATATAAATACGGTACATACACCAAAATAACATTTTTTACAATTTTTGTCAGTCTGTCTGTTTGTTCCGGCTAATCTCTAAAATGGCTGGACCGATTTTGACGGGACTTTTTTTGGCAGGTAGCTGATGTAATAAGGAGTAACTTAGGCTACTTTTATTATAGAGAAATAAAGTCAAATTCCATGCGAAATCGCGGCAAGCTAGTTACTATATAAGTGCAATCCCCTTATGTAAAGTTGAACAAAATTGACCATAAACAACATGTATTTTCTAGGATGAGGAACCTGCCAAACCTGGAAGCAGCTTAGGACAGCCCTCTGGTAAGTTTTTTTTTTATTACTGTTTCAAAATAACTTTTTGTTTATGATTTTGTTAAAAAAAATATTCAATGTTTGTTTGCAATGTGACTTCTGTGTTGTCACTTGCTTTTTTTTTAAGAATTTATTTTTTAATACGGTGTTTTCGCGCGCGTTTTGTTTATCTATGCGTACATAGATTGTGTGAGTGTAGAAGATCATATTGTGAATGGACATTGTAGAATTAAAAAAACGAATGTCTGTAAGGTAGGCCACTTTGTCTATTATAAATTGGATTTGTTAATATTTAAAAAAGTCGTAGAACCATGAATGTATTTTTTTTTTATTTTATGTCGTCCTGTTCACAGGGATATCTTACAGACATTTGTCTCCGTTTTTTTTGTTTTTATTTTTTTTTCTTTAGCGTTACATTCATGGTTCGCGATGGTTTAAGAAAAAAAAATAATTATTACTCTGCTTTTTCAGGTCGCCATGTACCGTACATTAGAGTGAAGCCGGAGAGCGAATTATTTTTCCAAACAAAGTTACAAAATTTAGCAAAAGCTAATACAGACTATATTAATAAATTATCCAAAATGAACGCTACTGAAATACGAAACGAGTTTTCTAAATATGGTTTCAATACAAACGCACCACTGGATGATGTACCAAAAGGCATCGATGGTACGGATAAAGTAGAGAATGATTATTATAAAAATTGGCTCGAACAAAACGGCGAACTGGAGGTGTCGCTCCTAAAAGCGAGTCAAGTAAAGAAACCGAAAACTGAAATAAAAAACCAAAAGTCCGAAGTGGAGTTGATACCAAAGGCAAAAGATGGGGTTGCAACCAAAGAAATTTTCCCCAAAATATGGGACAAGCCCGTAGCCCGGAAAAGAGGCAGACCGCCGATTTTTAAGGACAAAAACGTAGATATAGGAGAGACTGTGCTGAAATCTGATTTGGACCAATTTTTAGAGGGTAAAGAAGTTAGTTCGTCAGGGTTGTCGCGGAAGGACTTGGAGCGGGTGATGATGGGGAAATTTAATCCTAACAGAAGATATTCTAACGAGGCCATGTGGGCAGCTCTCATGGACGTAAAGAAAGGAGGTAGTATTTACAGGTGAGTCTTTATATTTGTTTATAACGCTAAATATGAAGTTTTTAGGCAATTTATTCTTTCATATAATACAAGTAGTACTTCAGGATTTTGTTTGGGTGGCGTGAAGTGGGATATCTACTTTATTGTTCATGTACATAATCCACTTTATCAAGTATCTTTACTAATCCTAGTATTAGAAGATAACCAACCCATTCTTCTCCATAAAAACTACTTGGACTAAAGGAAACAAAGAATCTGCTGGTAATTTTAAGAAAATAATAATATAACGAATTGTAAGCGAATCTTTTTTCCAGGGCTGCACAAACCCACAAAGTACCAAGGAAGTCCCTCCGCAATTGGATGAAGAGGTGCCACATAAAGTCCTCGTTCCCTATGCCTCAACAGCTGAAGCAGTTCGTCGAGAACAGCAAGAAACAAAAGGAGTACACGTACCAACCTGCTGAGAACCAAAACGCAGAACGCAGCGGTACCGAAGCAGACATGGCGGCGTATGATACTGAAATTGATTTTGGCAAACATTTCCTCAGCTTCACCAATTCCGTGTCTAGCGAGGACGAGAGCCTGGTTTTACCGAATAACGGGGAGCAGGCCGGGGAAATGGGGGAGAACGATGTCAACACAGCAATAGACATGTCAGTACATGAGTAATGTAGATTGATAATATATATGTCCAATACCTAACTTCATTATATACGTGCCTATTTATGATCTAGAGAAAACGACTAAATTTTAAAGTTATTAAGGTAAAAAAGATGCTAAAAGTTATAGTTTTTCTTTACGATTGAAAAATGTTAAACCTTTTTCTTTTTGAATTATCATAAATATTTGTGTTATGCAAAACATTAATAAGTAATGTAATTATTTATTTTATTAATGATAAAATAATTTAATCCACTGCAGGACACGATTTTGATGAGTTTATACATATTAAAAACAAAATTATATATATATAAATTTTAATGTTTACGTTATAAAACGTATATCAAATTTACTGGCGTCTATAACCGCGTACCAGTTACATAACAATGAAATTGTGATAAAACAAAAGTGTTGCAACTAATTAAAAAAAAATAAGAGTGTTGCCAGTTCAACGCGTATACGACTTTATAATACTGCCAAAGAAATTTCAAAGATTTGTGAATTTGTCTATGGTTTCACACCATATCTATATGTATGTTAATCCAAAGAGACATTACTTTTTCCTTCTTTTAAATTAAGTTGCCAAATTTACGAAAAGAGAACTAAAGAATAATTTATTTACGTCAAAAATTATTGGATCTAAAATAGAAGATTAAATTTATTTATTTATTATATTATATAATTATGAATTTGTCGCAATTTATATAATTATATACATAGTTATATTTTCCTATTTTTCGTTTCCCGCAATATTTAATCCAAAGAAACTTTTTTATTAGGATATTGAACCGTTATGTTTTGCTTAAGTAAAAAAAGGTATTCCAACTAGGATTATTTTGACAAAAATGTAGAAAAAAAAAATGAACGCATCTGCATCTGGATGTGTTAAAATTTTTTTTTTAATATAAGCAAAACATTGTTGATGTATTATTATTTATTTTAGTTGCGTTTCATTGTAATTTAGAATTTATAATGTTAGACATAAGATTATTAATGTTAAAGTTAGTTGAGGAAACTGAATTTGGCCTTTTGTGAAAAACGAGTGCTTGGTAGGACAACGTCCAAAACAATGAAAAGACTTAATAATTGAAATTTTAGCTGTTAAACCAGTGAGGCATTGTTATAGCAGTTTTTTTTATATCACGCTATATACTCTACGTCAGAGGTTCCCAAACTTTTGGGATCGTAGACCCCTTGACATATTATTCGGTTTTGGGTAGATTTTTTTGTAAACTTCTATCTGTAGCAAAGTTTAGTGTTAAAAACAAAGTAAAAACAATAAGATGATCGCTGTCGTAGACCATTTGCAGTTTGTCATAGACCCCTGGGGGTAGATATAGACTGGGAATCACTGCCCTACGTGATGGCGATACATAAATATATAAATTTACATAAATTTGAATAAATACTTCATATGATAAATAAATTAAGAATATATAAAATTACTTAAAATTAAATTTAAAAATGTAAGAAACATTGCTTTGCATGGGTATAACTTTATTTTCTTCAATTAGATGTTATTTTGCGGAAGTCCATTTCATTACTTTTAATAGATTTATATTATTTTGTTTAGTTCCGATACTATAATAATAATAAATACTAGCTGTGCCCGCGGTTTTAATCGCATGAAATTTATAGTGTGATGACAGGAGCGGTGGTGAGAGTAAACACACACAGTAGTGTAACTTGTATATTAACTGTTACATCTTGAATTACTCTAGCTTACACTAATTACATAAACTATATATATGAGGTACTGCGTGACCTATGTGTCGTTAGATAAAACGTACACTGGCACAATTTTTTACTGAACGTGCTGATTTGCATCACTATATCACAATAGCCTATGTGTTATTCTGATGTGAGCTATATTACTGCAGTTTCAACAAAATTGGTTCAGTAGTTTCTGCGTGAAAGAGTAACAAACATCCATCCATACTCACTTTCGTGTTTATAATATTAATTAATCTTATATATAAAATTCTCGTGTCACAGTTTTCGTTCCCATACTCCTCCGAAACGGCTTGACCGATTCTCATGAAATTTTGTGAGCGTATTGAGTACGTCTGAGAATCGGCCAACATCTGTTTTTCATCCCCCTAAATGTTAGCGGTAGTCCATCCCTAATTTTTTTTTATTTTAAGGCAAAACAACGTTTGCCTGGACAGCTAGTAAGATATACAAAATAGTAGCAGAGCTAGGAAAAATATAAATGCATTAAATAATTTAAAATTATTCATTGTAGGCCACGAGTTCTGATAAGAGAATGATTTAGCCTACTATTCCCTGGCCAGGTGGCTTGGTATAGCGTTTTGAGGACAAACAGACAATAACATTTTCAAATTCAAAAATCATATATTCATGTAGGACATTTTAGCCGCTTATGAACGTAAAGTTTTTACATTATACTTTTTTTCCACCGTCCACTTATAGATCAAAAAGAACTGGCAAATCAATTGAATTAATTTTTTTTTTAAAAACAGTTTATTTATAATGTATATTTATATAGGTGTCTATGTCTAACATTAAATGAAAATCCAGTGCATGAACAACTATTGCCATGCACGCTCGTCATTCAAGTAATCGTTTAGTGCTTTGCTTATTTAAAAATATGACATGCTTTGCTCATTTATACCACATAGTGATATAACCTCACAGGAATTTATAACTGAAATGCTCTCAAAAGCGTTTGAGTGAATTTTATTTGGCTGCGTCTCTGTTGGTTTGTAGTTGTACAAGATAACAGTATAGTGTATCAGTAATCACAGTACAATATTTACACAAAGACAAAGAAAAATTGATAAGAGACGAGTTTAGGCTATTATTAACTTGGTATATTTTGAAATTTCCTTATAGTTTTGTTCGAATTTTAATCTATTTTAGATAGATAGATAAGTTCTTTATTCAACAATTACAAACATTGTATACATGAGATACATTTTATAATAGAAATAATGTTTACAAATGAAATAATACAGAAATATAATGTTACTAAATAAAATAAAAATGGAGGTGGCTTTATGTGTCGCAATGATGAAATTTGATATAGTTTTCATTTTTATATATAGTACCGTAGCTACCTAGGGGCTAGGGGAGGCAGTGCCCCGGGGCCCTCAAGCTCAGGGATCCCTCGAACCCTTACAGAAAATCTTGATCAAATTGAACATTTATAATATATAAATATGATAGGTTGCAACTCGACTTTAGTCATAGCAACTCAGAGAGAAATTCTAAAGTTATACCTTCAGAATTATCTTAAATTCTCTATGTTGGCAGTGTTGTCAATTTGACGGATAGCGATATATGTGTTTTAATAAAACTAATGTAGGCAGGCAGTAGGCAGGCACCCCACTTTTTTATTGCCTTACCCCAGGGCCCTATAGGTAACTAATTACCTAACTTATACTTCTAGTCGTTCTATAGGTATTGCAAGCCCATGTGAAGCAAAGACGAGTGACTAGTTCAATTTATTGCTACCCTCAAACCCAAACAGTGTATTTCTCTTAACGTCTGTCGCAGCGACCGACAGTGAAGAGGCGGTATGCTCGCTCCAGCTGTATTTTCGAAAACGTTTCAGCCCTATTTTGTTTTAAATCACGATAAAATTGGTTAAAAATAAGTCCGGCACAGATCTGTGACAAAATCTGTGTCAAAATCAAAATCTGGGTGCATAGGTCTGTGTCAAAATGTTCGAGGGTTTTTTTTTTCTTTGGTAAGAGGTTAGTGTTGTCTATTATACCACCGTCAAGTTTCACGTTTCCCGCCCTTTCTGTCGAACTTAACCCTTATCGTTAGAGGGGTTAATAAGTATTATTTACATCTCTCGACGTTTCGCCTAGGTTGCACTAGCCGTGGTCACGAGCTGACATAGTCGAATTTCGAGATAGGTAACCTTTATTTACCATAAAATTATTCGTCTTAAGACCCGGTTAATAATTTAAATTTGACCTACAAAATGACGAGCACGCGTGACTAAAATAATGTAAAAAACTGCTATAACAAGTATTAATGTAAAAAAAAAAGCTTAAAGTATTTCTTGAATGTGTATTAAGTAATTTATTTTCGTTTTTAATGTACTTAAGGTTCATTTTGGCATCGAATAATTTATATTGAGCGTCTGTGTACTAACTGAATGTATGTGGGAAGTTTTATATTAATGTAATATATAACTGTTGATGTACTGCAGTCAGTTTCGCAATAGGATATGTTGTTAACTAGCTTTTCGCCGCAGCTTCTCCCGGATGTACATGTATTATACATATAAACCTACTAAAAAGAACCAAGTATATATATATTTATCATCATCATTACTTAGTATAAAATAAAGTCGCTGTCGCTGTCTGTCCCTATGTATGCTTGAATCTTTGAAACACGCAACTGATTTTGAAGCGGTTTTTTTAATAGATAGAGTGATTCAAGAGAAAGGAACTAGCTATGTCCGCGACTTCGTCCCCGTGGAATTTAACAAAAAAGTTAATTAGAGAATTTTTATAAAATAAAAGTAGTCTAAGTTACTCCTTATTACATCAGCTACCTGCTAAAAAAGTCCCGTGCAAATCGGTCCAGCAATTTCAGAGATTAGCCGGAACAAACAGACAGACAGACATAAATTGTTAAAAATGTTATTTTAGTGTATGTACCGTATTTATGTTCACATGCATGTAGTAAAAAACGGTTATTTCAATATTACAAATAGACACTTCAATTTTATTTATATGTATAGATACATGTACACCCGTGCTGAGCCGGGGCGAGTAGCCAGTATATTATAAACAATAATATTATATAGTGTTTTAAATCTGACGCGGTCATTATTTATACGTATAATTACAAAAAACACCATAGTTGCCCACCATCACGGGTGAACATTTACAGTTTACCCGGAATCATGGTGGTTGGGGCAGTAAAGTCCTCGAGTGGCGACCACGGACCGGAAGACGCAGCGTGGGAAGGCCTCCAGCAAGGACCGACGATCTGGTCAAGATCGCTGAAAGGCATTGGATGCGAGC